TTTCGCAAGAATCTGAGGAAGTTGGGATACGTTGAAGGATTGAACACGATCTAATCCAGCAGTTCTTTGACTAGAGTATGCATTCGCGAGCGGATAGGTACTCACGAATCCGCTATAGGCAGCCACACGGTCAGATCAGGTATCCAAGGACTCAAAAATGGGCGTACCTGTCAACCTCTACCGCCTCCTTTCCCGGCATGGCAAAAGGTACGGTGTTCGCATGACCGCCGGGACGCGAGTCGGCCTCATACAAGTGAACTTCGTGTTCGCTATGCTCGTTCAGAAGCTACGATCCATGTTCCAGTGTCTTAGAGCGAGATACAAGGTTGTTTGACATACCCAAGTAGCCCCAAGACCAGAAACACCCGATCCAACGACTGCGACGCGCATTCAGCTAGTTTTGACTTGCGTAAAGCCTACCGAGAGATGGTGGGAGCGGGAAGCGAGAAGAACGTCGCCGACAGTTTTAGACATGGCGGAAGCTTATATATTGGCAGATGCAGGCGCAGAATTTGCACAGACGATATAGGGAATTTATGGTCGCTACAAGAGACGATGATGGTTCTCAGGCTGCCTTTGTCGTCGACCAGACCGGGCGCTAACTGCAGCGCCGTAGTATCGGCTCTGGTACTCACGTTATATGGAGTGACCGCAACCGTAAACTTGAAGCCAGTCGGGTAAGACGTCTTCAGGTCTGTCAAGTCTTGACTTTACCCTTTGCAAAATACCCTAAGAGCTAAACCTAAATGTACTGTGGAATAAGTATATGATTCTGAAGTGTATACGCCAAGCTCCGCATCTACAGCTTAGAATTCGGAGTCGGCCCTGGCCCCGCCGACCTCTGCGCATTCCTCAGATTGACCTCTATGGGCATGACGAGCGCCATCTGGTGCGCCACCAACAAACAGCGCTGCTGCTCCCTCCAGCCCTCCTTCGCCTCCTTCCCATCGCCAATCTCAGCACTCGCAGGCGCCGACCACAGCTCCACGCGGATATCATGCCGGCCCTGAGGCGCATCCATGAACCGGCTCGTCATGATAGCCCCTACAGTGCGCGTGGACAGGCGCCCACCCTCGCGGGGCAACGGCGCGCGGAACTCGAGTGACAGCACGATGGTCGGGAACCATGCGCGGCTCTTGTTGGGGAGCATGGATGACGCGAGCTTGTTCGGGCCGAGGTCTGCGAAGAATGCGAGTGCGGATGGGTTGAGCTTGTCGCTGGGATGAGCAAAGCTGGCCCAGAGACCCTGCTCGGTGCCGCCCTCGCCGATGCCTGCGGCGGTCAGTTGATCGTGGCGCTCGGCGATGCTTGGATCGAAAGCAATGGTCATGTGGTGTTTGAAGTTCAGGCGCGACCAGGGTTTTCCGGGTGTGCAGGAGGATGCGTGTGTGCGGAAAGGCGTTACTCGGGCTAGAGGAGATGGAGGCTCGAGGGTCATGGCAATGTCGGAGGGAGGAGCCGCTGCTGGGTCCATGTTTCCGAATACCGACTGCGTAGTCACTTTGGTCGTACCCTACGGATTTAGTGCTTCGAGTCAGCCACTGGAAGCATAGCGCACGATATGAAACGAGTACTTACGTTCTGAATTAGCTCTGCGGTTATGTTGCACAGCGTCTGACCCGATTTGAGCATGCGAACGTGAACTTCCAGGGGTCCAATGGCAGTAGGTTTGAGATAGTGCGCGGTCACATGCAGGGGATCGGGAAGCTTGGTGGAAGCCTGATGTTGAACGCATGCCTCGATGATCAGGCCAAGAACATATCCTGTAAATGTTGTTTAACAGATGCACCATATGCATTAATATGGGCTGGTTACTGACCACCTTGAGGAACTCTAAAATCCAGCCCTGAGTCAAAGTCAGATACACAGTATCAACTGCGGAAAAGCTTACGCGTTCACAGTCCAGTCAGGACGCGCATCGCCAACATATACCACGACGTCACCCGTGGTGTGCGCATACCGCATCTGGCTTGCCTCGGCGAAAGGCCCCATGGTCGACGCTGCTTCTGTCGAATCTGCAGACAACATGATGTTCGACGGGCGATAGGCGCACGCGATGGTATTTATGGACGTAAGCCGTGTCGTCTGACATATGAATATTGATCAGGACTCGCATTTGTGAGGCTGCCAGACGCCCTCGGGCTTGCCCGCTTATAATGCAGGGTCCGGCTGCGGACTGTGAGAAGAGCCGGTGGGTTATCAGCCTTTTGTTATTGAATTGAAGTTGCAGGGTTCATGGGATGATGACATACTTGATGTTGGCACGAAGCGAGGACCTGCAAACCCTCGTGTCAATGACTGTTGCAGCTCGTTGATGAGATCTTCATATATGCGACAGCTTCAGCTGGATGTCGATGATAGAGCGTGCACATGCTGGCCACCGGGAATTACACAGTGGCAAATCCAAGTCGGCCACATGACCAGGTTTGTATATCGGAGGAAGTTGCAATCGAGCGCGTTCAGGCACATCGGCCGTTGGTTCGACATGTGGGCGCGCGTATGAGGCCGAGCAAAGACAATGCAGAGATTGAAAGGCGTAACAAGGAGGAAACCTAGAAGGGTAAAAACCGGATGAGTGTCGAGGAATCCGGAGCCTCTGCCACAGTGCCATCGGCCAGGCGGCCCATCGCGGCCCGGCACCCCGGATTCGAAGAAGCCTCAAGCTCGACGGTGACCTTTAGAAGTTGGCGGCCGAATTCACTCAACATGGACCTAGTAATCGATAGAATAAGAAACCGGATATACAGCATAGCAAGACGCACCCTAGCAGATCCAAAGTGATAACAACAATATCAAGCACTGAAATTAAGGTATAAATACACGGCTATAAGGCATAGTATGTAGGGACGTGGTAATAGATTGATTCTAAAGCTTCGAACCCGCCGCCGCCCCCGCCGATTTCTGCGCATGCTTCACATTAACCGCCGCAGGCACAATGAGCGCCATCTGGTGCGCCACGAGCAAACAGCGCTGCTCCTCCCTCCACCCCTCCCTCAACTCCTTCCCTTCCCCAATCTCACCAGGCGCAGTCCACAGCTCCACGCTAATATCATGGCGGCTCTGCGGCGCATTCATGAACCGACTCGCCATCATGATTCCGAGCGTTCGCGTAGACAGGCTCCCGCCCTCGCGGGGCAGCGGCGCGCGGAACTCGAGCGACATCACGATGGTCGGGAACCACACTTGCGGGTCCTCGGGCAGCACGGACACTGCGAGCTTGTTCGGGCCGACGTCTGCGAAGAAGGCGAGCGCGGACGGGCTGAGCTTGTCGCTAGGATCGACGAACCCGGCCCATAGGCCTTGTTCGGTGCCGCCGTCGCCAGTGCCTGCAGCGGTGAGCCGGTCGTGGCGCTCGGCGATGGTTTCGTCGTAGGCATTCAGCATGTGTTGCTTGAAATTGAGGCCCCAGAATACTTTTGCGGGTGAGCATGCGGATGGGGGCGTGTGAAAGGGCGTCACGCGAGCCAAGGGGGATGGGGGCTCGAGAGTCATGGTGATTTCGGAGGGATGTGCTGCTGCCGGGTCCATGTTCCCAAATATTGACTGCGTAGTTACTTTGGTTGTACCCTATGAAATGAGTGTATTCAGTCAATTATTCTGAGCGCGATGCTTGATTCAGGGATTGCATTTACCTTCTGGATTAGTTCTGCAGTGATATTGCAAAGTGTCTGACCCGATTTGAGCATACGAACGTGTACCTCCAGGGGTCCGAGGGAAGTTGGCTTAAGGTAGTGCGCAGTGACATGCAGAGGATCGGGCAGCTTCGTAGAAGCCTGATGCTGCACGCATGCTTCAATGATCAAGCCTAGAACATATCCTGCGAAGTCTGTTAAACGGACGCGTCACACGCGTCGAGATGGAGTAGATACTCACCACCTTGAGGGACTCTTGTTCCCAATCCAGAATCAAAGATTAGCACGCAGGGTCAATTGGGAGGAAACTCACGCGCCGACGGTCCATGAACGATGCGCATTTCCGGTGTACACCTTAGTGTCACCTACTGTATGCGAATAGCGCATCTGGCTTGCCTCGGTAAAAGGTCCCATGGTCGACGTCTTCTGAATCGCTAAATCGTGCCCCGCGCAACAGGCGTATAAGTACGATGGCACTCATTCTTACACCAGGCCTTCTGACACATGAATTCGATCGACCGGGACGATACGGGTGCCGGAATAGTCCACCCCAATGGCCGTCGGACGCCGCCAATCGAAGTGAGCCATGCGTCTATCAGTATACCAGCAGCATGGTTGGCCAAAAAGCCAGAAATCACCTTCCCTGGATGCGCGGACCGTGCTAGCTCCTTGTTTTCCGGCCAGTATTTCCGGTATTCTGCTTCAGGCGATGTCCGGGTCCTCGGTGATGGTGTCTGACCAGATGACGTGGATGTGGCCATGGGTGGATCATTGAAGTGGGAGAGGCGAAGACTGCGAAGATAAGCTGTGCTGTATGATGTATAGACCCCATCACAGAAGTCCGAGTCGGCTTGCGCATACCTTTTGGCTACATTTTCATGTTTACTTGGCAAAGATCTATTGGTGTTTGCTCTTAGCCATCAATCGACGGCTGTGGCCCGGTCGTGCGGTAGTTTGGAGGGTCTACAAAGCCCCGAGGACGACCCTGTAAGTTGCGAATAGTGCACAGTAATGGGTGAGCGGGACTACGACAAAATGCGGACCACCTTCGCTCTAAGTACGATCGCTGGGACGCTCGCGTCAACATGGATTTGATGGACGCGGTTGAGCTACTGAAGACCGAGTGAGCGTATTTCAAATCGTCAATAGGACGTGCCAGTGGTGGTGCAGTCGACGTCGTAGCCGTGTCAATGTTGACGGGACCAAAACGCGCGTTCCTTGCTTAGACTACGCACCGACGGACCCCGAACCGTTTCAAAGTCATGCGTCCGGGCACTGTCGGACAGGACGAAATAACTTCATTTTTTGCAGGCTTTGCAGGCTATGTTTGAGAAGTGCTTGAAAGGATACTCGGGAGGAGAAAAACAATGGACGAGAAGGGATTTGAACCCTTGACCTCGTGCACTTGAGACAACCGATGTTACTCGATCGTTTGCAAAGCACGCGCGCTAACCACTGTGCCACACGCCCTTGTTACATAGTTCCACGTTAGGGTACCCGTATCGTAATCGTCTGTGGTCGCCCATAGTACACCGTCCGTCTTCAAGTCGCGTTTAGTTTATCATAGCCGACTAGCATGAGCCTCTCCTCCTTCCTCCTCGGCGGCACGCCAAAGCCCATCGACAACGACCTTGATGCGCTATTCCGCTCTACAGCAGTTGCAAAACCCCAGGTCCCAACAGCAGAGCCTACCCCGGGACCCTCATCCGAGGTCGAGAAAAAGAGAAAGAAGACCGATTCCGACCATGGCGCCTCCAAGAAGCGTCTGAAGCAAGACGAGTCTCCTAAGAAGGAGAAAGAGAAGAAGGACAGTGCAGCGGAGACTGCGACTGCGAAAGCAAAAGCGAAGAAGGACAAGAAGAAGGCCAAGGCAGAGGTGCTCGAGTCGAGCGACGACGAGGATAACGCGGACATCGAAGATGCGTATCTCACAAAATCACAAACGAGTCAGCCTGCGCCGGCGGAGAACGCGTCCGACTCGTCCGACGACGAGGGCGACCCGTCGCAGCTCGTGCACGAGTCGGTGAGCAAGTCCGGCAAGGCAGCGAAGGTGCGCACGAAGGCGCCCAAGTACGTGCCCCCGGAGGAGACGAAGGAGCAGCGGGACGCGCGCACGATCTTCGTGGGCAACGTCCCCATCGACGTCGCGAAGAACAAGGTATGCGCCCACCATGCTTTCTGCCGATACACCCTCTCACCGACGTATATACACATGCAGTCTCTACTGAAGCAATTCAAAAAACACATCCTCACACACGTCCCACACGCCAAGATCGAATCCGTCCGCTTCCGCTCGGTCGCCTTCCAAACCCCCACAACAAAACTCACCGGCGGCGCCGACGAAGGTGCTTCCCGAAAACCCGCCCCCACACCCGAAAGCGAGGGCCGGCAGCACGACCGCGAGCGTGCGGCCTCCTGGCGCTCCTCTCAGGGCGGCGAGGAGAAAGAGCCCGTGAAGCGGCAGACGCCGCAGGAGAAGAAGCGCATCGCGTTCATCAAGCAGGAGCTGCACGAGCAGGTCGACGCGGTGCACGCGTACGTCGTCTTCGCGCACCCCGCGCCGCGCGCCGCGAACCTGCCCGCGCTCGACGTCCTCGCGCCGCACGCCGCGGCCGCGCTCGCGGTGGAGAAGTGCGACGGCACGGTCTTCCTCGGGCGCACGCTGCGCGTCGACCTCGTCGCGCGGCCCGCGGCGGACGCGGCGGCGCCCGCGGGCGACCCGAAGAAGACGCTGTTCGTGGGCAACTTGGATTTTGCGAGCAAGGAGGAGGATCTGCGCGTGTTCTTTGAGACGCTGATCAGTGCGGAGAAGGGCCCGCGGGGGCAGGAGGAGGCGAATGAGAGGGAGGAGGACGAGGAGCCGGACGAGGAGGATGCGGAAGGCAAGCCGAAGACGTGGGTGACGAGGGTGCGCATCATCCGCGACCGCGACACGCAGCTCGGGAAGGGTTTTGCATATGTCCAATTCGCCGTACGTTCTCACTGCTTTTCTCATTCTATCCTCCTGCGCTCACGCTCCGACATATCTGACAGGACCGCGAATGCGTCGACGAGCTGCTCGCCCTCGACGAGACGAAGCTCAAATTCGCGAAACGCAAACTGCGCGTGCAGCGCTGCAAGACGCTCCCCGGCGGCAAACTGCCCGCCGCCAAAATCAGCGGAAAAGCCGCCCCTCCAACCAAGGGCGTCAAGGAGAAGCGGCCGCAGCAGAAACGGCAGGCGGTGCCCATCGTGGTGCCCAAGGGCAACCCGCTGCTGGGCGAGAAGCTCGCGCACCTGCCGAAGGAGAAGCGCAAGGAGGCCAAGGCGGCGGACGCGGACCGCGTGGCGAGGCGGCTGGCGAAGAAGAAAGCACGGAATGCGCTCGGGAGGGCGGGTGTGAAGGAGCAGCCGGGCGCAGGGGCGAAGAAGGACCGCGAGCGCGTGAGGAAGAGCGCGGGCGAGCGCAAGGGCAGCGCGCTGAAGAAGGAGCAGAAGAAGAGCCGTGTGCGGAGCGCGAGGAACGCGGAGAAGAGGAACGCAAAAAAGTAGCAAAGATATTGTTACAGAGATGGGATGCGTATGTTACAGGATATATCATTCGTACATTGTGCGCAGATGGTCGGACATCCATGATCAGGTGCGTCCAGTTGCAGACCACTTGGGGTTGTTCGCGACGATGCCGCCCACGCCTCCGTCGAGCACGGTGTCGACGGTGAGGTTCAGCGTCGGCTTGAGGGCGACAGATTCCATGGCCCAGAGTGCGACCGCGACGGTGCTGCAGCAATAACAGTCAGCCACGCAATCGACAGGAATGAACGTAAGAAGGCCTGCCCACTCACTTGGTACCATTGTACTCCAAGATACCCTCATGCACGGGGAACTTAAACTGGGGCCTGCAGTCACACGCAAGACGTTCACATTAGCCCACGCCCAAAGCACCACCGAAGCACAAGTCTGCAGGCACGCACCCCAAATTCGATACACGCTTGCCCATCATCCACCCATTCACAAACAACAGCGCGCGGTACGGCTGACTGACGTCGTCGAACGTGAACGACATGAGCACGTCGAGGCCCTCGGGCACATTCAGGTCAAACGTGGTCACGAAGAAGCCGACGCCGGCGGTCGCGTTGGGCAGCCCGGCGGACAGCTCGCGGCGCTCCCACGACGAGGTGTCGAAGCCCGGCAGGTGCCAGCCCTGGCGCTCGCCGAAGAGCCCGCCCTCGTTCAGCACGCCGCGCGTCTTGTCTGGGAATCTGTGCCAGTGTGTGTGTGTGTGTGTGTGAGTAGGTGGGTGGGTGTGGGTGAGTGAGAAGAAAGGGCGGGAAGAGGACTACGCACGCGGTGTAGCCCCCGATCTTGCCCTGCACGCGCCAATCGGAGAAATTGCCCGTGTTGAGCTGGAAGCCGCGCACGCCGCGGGCGGATTTCTGGTCTACGGAGCAAGGGCGGCGGGAATCAGCATCGCGATGAACAACGATATAGGAGCATGTGAGCAGGGCGGCGTACTGTTGGCCTCGTCCAGGCCCATGTTATCCTGCACGATCGTGATCACGTTGTCCTGTCCCGCGAGCACCGCGCCGTCGGGGAACGTGAAGACCTGGTCCGTCTCGTCGATGCTGTTCCTGTTGTTCGACGAGCTGCCAGATACCAGTCAATCTTTAAGCGTAAATTTCAATGAGGTAGTTGTACTCACTTCCCGAACGACGTGTTGAGGAAATGGTCGTTCAACCACACACTAGCGGCGAAAGCTGCATTCCATCATGAGCACGGTTTACACAATAAAAAAGTGAAGCGCACATACCTTCACCACCGATGATGGACAAATTGACCGACTTCTCGCTCCCGGTCGCGTTGAAGTGCCCACGCCAGAGCACGATATTCTCACAGCTACAGACCACCCCTCATCAGCACACCCAACCACCCACCAAACCCAAGAGCCACAAACGAGCACTCACAAGCCATAATCACACCCATACAACACCCGCCCATCCCCATACGTCGGCTTCGTCGGAATATTCGTGGTCGTATGGTTCGCCAGCACCCACGCCGCATCCTCAAACCCCACCCCCACCTCCGGCAAGCTGTCTTTAAACCGCCACCCCTCCAACACCGGCGCACTCACACCCCGCACGGAACTCGCAAGCAGCACCTCGCCGACGAAGCCCCCGACGCTCGTGAGCGCGCCCGCCGCGCGCGCATCCGGGCTCACGCGCGCGCCGTTCCACGACACGCCGCGCACGGCGGGCGGGCCGACGACGGTGAGGCGCGCGCTCGCGTTGAGGTCGCCGCGCAGCGCGAGCGTGCCGTCCGCGGCGAGCGCCGCGCCGCGCACGAGGTGCGGCCCGCCGACGAGCACGCTCGCGTTGCTCCCGAGCTGCCAGTAGTTCGCGTGTGTGGTCCCGCGCGCGCCGGGGAGCACGGGCGCCCAGAATGTGCCCGCCGTCGGCGTGTCGGCGAAGAGCACGAGCTGTGAGGGAGAGTCGAAGACGGTGACGAGGCCCGTGATGCCGGGCAGGAAGCCGATGACGGTTGTCCCCGAGCCTGTGCCCGTGGTGTTGTTGGGGGAGAAGGAGATGAGGGACGATTTGGCCTGGATGGCGGCGCGCCCGCGCAGGGTGAGTGCCGCTTCGTGTGCTTGGGAGGCGTCGCCGTAGAGGAAGAGGACATCGCGTGAGCCAATGCGGCCGGCGAAGAGGATGGATGCAGTGGAGTAGAGCAGGGAGGAAGTGCCGAACGTGTAGGAGCCGACTATGACTTTGGATTGGCGGCCGGAGAGGGTGATGTTGGGGACGTGCTGCGGGAGCTGGAGCGCGCCGGCATTGGTGTCTACGGTGAGCTTGAAGGACGTCGTGGCGCTGCGAGCGGTGTCAACACAGATACAATACGAGAAACGAGGGAGGTAAAACGAACGTGGAAGTGGAATCGGTCTGCCTGACGATGTAGAACGTCGCATTGGTGTCAGGGTTCTTCAGCAAGACGCCGAATGCAGCGGGGTTGGAGATGTTCACTGCGCCCGAGGTGCTGTTCCCGATCCAGTCCGTCTTGTAAAACTCGGGCGAGCTGCGCAGGAAGAGGCCCTGCAACTTGAGCTCTGCGAATTTGGGTGACAGTTCACGGTTCTCTTGAATAGAGCTACCATAGTCGTAGGAAGCTAATTTTTGTGTCAGAGTGATCACCCTACAAATATGATACTTCACCAGGACACTTACAGTAGACGGTAGGTTCGGGGATAGCTCCCCAGGACGTTCCCCTGTGAAGTCTCATTATCGCGGGCCCAATCGATTCGGCCATGGCAGTGACTTACCCGTAAACCATATAGAAGCTCAAGAGCTTTGCATTCGAAGCCCAAAGAGAACGATAAAACACGGACTCAAAGTCTGCGCCCGTCAGGGTGCGGCAGTTTTCGTAGCCTGGCGCGGACGGGCCCCAAGGATCGAATGCGCCGCCTTGGAACTACAGTGCAAGGATTAGTTCATAGTCAAGAC